TTTAACAGACTAAGTAGGGCGGAATTCATACCACTCCTCCAGGTCATTCCTCAGGAATTACATTTATCATTGAATCGAATATGGCTGACCCACTTGAATGCTTGGCGCGTTATAATTGAATTACAAAATGCAGAATTCTGCCTTTCCTCAGAAAAAGCTTGTGACTATCTGTAATTATAAAAGCTACTTATATTAGCTCTGTGTCATTCTTGAGCATATTGAGAGATGACATTTTCCTATCCCTGTGTACACCTATCCCAGTGTACACCTATCCCTGTGTACATCTATCCCTTACACCTATCCCTGTGTACACTTATCCCAGTGTACACTTATCCCAGTGTACATCTATCCCAGTGTACATCTATCCCTGTGTACACCTATCCCTGTGTACATCTATCCCTTACACCTATCCCTGTGTACACCTATCCCTTACACCTATCCCTGTGTACACCTATCCCTTACACCTATCCCTGTGTACACCTATCCCTGTGTACATCTATCCCTTACACCTATCCCTGTGTACATCTATCCCTTACACCTATCCCTGTGTACACCTATCCCTGTGTACATCTATCCCTTACACCTATCCCTGTGTACATCTATCCCTTACACCTATCCCTGTGTACACCTATCCCTGTGTACACTTATCCCAGTGTACATCTATCCCTGTGTACCTGATTGTAACTGGCTGTGGATGCATTCAGAATGGGGAACCAACAGATCCATGAATCGAATATGGCTGACCCACTTGAATGCTTGGCGCGTTATCCCCATGGGGAATCTATTCAGTGTCTATTAAGGGATTATGCGGCAAGTATTTAAGTGGGCTGGCCATATTTGATCTGCTGAGATCTGTTGATCAGTGTTGTGAATGTGGCCTTTTTCTTACCTTTGTAATGATGACGTCCTTGGTTTGCCCGAGACGGTGACATCTGTCAAAACATTGCTCCTCGGATGCTGGGTTCCAGGCCTGGGGGGTAAATAAATAAATAAATAAATAAATAAGAGGGTAGGCTACTGTGAAATAACCAACTTTTTTAACCTTTCGTGACCAAATCACTGCATGTCACACATGGACCCAATTATTACAAATTTATTACTATATTAAGGCCACACTTTTTTATTTTTATGGATGACATCCTGCGCGCACACCGATTTTCATCTGTTCTCAAACCCCCCCCCCCCCCCAAGGTAGTCAGTTGTCGCAAACGTCATTATTGATTTGTCAGAAAATGCAATCTGCAATCCTCGGCTCATTCCGCAAGCTCCATACTGTCAGTGTCGACTGCGGAGACATCCGAGTACTTCCGAGTGCGGATAATGAGCTTTCTACGCATGCGTATTATCACCACGTGGAAATATGGCCGCTTTGCTGTCAAATTCATCTCTAGCATTAATTTCAAAATACACGCCAATAAAAGTCATAAAGAGAACAGGGGCCATCGTTTTGGATTGGTTTGCCATTGATATTGGACATGGAGATATCACCCTTTTACAATTATACGAAAGGCTGGCCGCGACCAGCGATCATCGCCCGGAAAATTTCAGTGACATTCTGTCCAAAGCAGCACATACCAGGTTTTTTTTTGTAGCAAAAAAAGGGTCGACAAGAGCGTCGTGGTATTTGGTGGACTGAAGGT